TTTCTACTAGGTAAACGAAAGAGGGAGAACACGACCACTCGAATTCAAATTTCTATATGAAACTTCACCGAATGACGTGCATATTGTACAAGCTCAATCCTACCTTTTCAATCAGGCAATCAGGACGAGTCTTCTTAGCTATCGTTGTAGAAATGAAAAATATAAGAGTAAGAAATATGTTTGAATAGGTGTAGGGGTGGTAGATTATGCGCATAGAAGAAGTACATAGAAAGATAAAATACATCATTTCTTCACTTACTTATTGACATCATTGACCACACTGCCTATGACATAATTTTTCTCTTGATCCAGTCCGGTAATCGGCCCTGGATTCAAGCATAGTTCACCATCTTTCGGGTATGCTCTTACTCAAATCCGTCGATACAAGTGGTGTGTATAAATCAGCAGGAACGATGACGTGCTTACTTGGGATTCCTCGTCATGATGAAGTTTTACGACCGTACGTCCCAGAACATCTAAGGGAACCACCATGTATTCGCCACTAAAGAGTCGATCACTATAATGGTGGTGTGTTGTGTTAACCACTCATTACCAGCCCCATTTAAGCTACCTAGAATAATCAGCGTAGCCAGTGCTGTCTTTTTATGATAAAATGACTCAGTTTTGGATACCGTGATAATCCGTCCTTTTCGACACAGTGGCTCAACCATAATCAAAGATATGATAACCTCACTTGACCTAAAGTTTTTTTTATTTTGTCATCGCCAACGTATTGACCTAAGAGGGGTTTTTAAAACTTTATATCAAATCAACCTTTGATGGTAAATCATCCACTCGTGCTATGGTAGGGACACTGGGAATCTCGAGTCTCGAGTCATAGTTACTACAGCCATTTAACCACCTGACTTGTTTAAAATTCAGTTGTTTAGCCTCTCTCAACCACCCGTGCTATGGTAAGATAGGAACACTAGGAATCTCATGAATCATAGTTACTACAGACCACCCAGCTTGTTTGCTGTCTAACATGTCGTATACTATACGTACACCCACAAGCTTAAAATATTTTATGCTAGACTTGGTTGGCATGTATTAATAGAGAGATAGAAAAAAAACTTCAATTTTTTTTTGTTTTTTTTTTTATTTTTCTCTCAACCACTCGTGCTATAGCCGTTTACCCACCCGGCTTGTTTGAATTTCTTCACTTTCATTATCCACACCCACAGCTCAAAATATATTATAGAGAAATAAAAAAACCAATTTTTTAATTTTGTTTTTTTCTTCCCTCTACAATATTGGTAAACGAAAAAATTCATAAATTGGCTTTATTTTCAACTACAATAATCTCGACTCTACATATTAACTTCTATTCGGAAAATTTTTGCCGGGTGTCAACGGACAAAATCAATGCCGATCCATATTTAGTTTTTATCACGTCATCGTCAAAATTTCCAAGAATTTTGAGAATCAGAATTTCTCTTCTGATAAAATTCTACCAAAAAATTTCCCCCTTGATATTATATTCTTTATAATAAGAAGGATGCCGTTTCTTCCGTTTGCTGAAGTTTTCCGAGAAGAAACCGCTTAATACTTTATTTTCTTTATATTGTCGTGAATTAATGTAATTTTCTTGCAGTGAATTTTTCGAAATATACTCTTAAAACGGTATATAATACTTGAAAATGGATTATTTTTATTAATTTTCTTTCCTTCCTTAAAAGTTTGTGTAAAGCGACACTTTTAATTCATAAATAATACTCTCAACCAAATTTTTGAAGAAAAAGTCTAATACTCAGGTGAACAGTAAAATTAACAATGACCTCTCACCCAACGCGTAAATAACTAATATTCTCGTATACTAAATTATTTTTATTTCGTTCAAAAAGTGCTCGTTCCCTGATTAAACCTTTTATTTGGTTTTGTTGACAATTTAGCCGAAGGATCTAAAACGAGCGTTGATTGAACTGGAGTACATATCATATAGACTTCAAACGAGGATAGTCTAATCGATCGATCTTTAGTATGTAGAATTTTTTTTATTTCTAAATCTTCTAGCTTTTTATAAAATAACTACTTCAAAAGGATCTAATATTAATCACTTGTCATTATAGATAATTTTTTTTCAATTTTTTGACGTCGCCAAAAGGATTGATGTGAGGATGAAAAAAAATAATAGTTGAGAAGATATCATTCAAATAGAAATCAGCAATATGAATGA